AAAAATCTATCTGCCAATAAAAATAGGAAGTAGAGACTCGGTGCAGACCTGGCTGGATTTCTAAAAAGACATTAAAACCTGGATGGATCTGAACTTTCTCAATCATAATGAAAATAAGGCTGAAAATGCTCTGTTTGTTCAGCTGGACCTTCTGGATGACCCCGACGGCACTCTTGCTCCCTTTTGCGTCATTCAATCGATCTTTTGTGCAAAAGCTTTGGCGAGATCTTCGACAGCTCTTTTCAGATCTGACAGACGGATCAGCCCGGCGGTCAAAAGCAGCTTTTTTCAGTTCAGACTTTCAGCCAAGCTGAAGGTCAATTTTTCTCTTTCAGTAACGTTGAAAAGGTGATTCGTGCCTTTATTACCGCTCGGTTAGATGCTTGTAGGTCCAAAGCAGTCGTGACTTTGGTGTCTGTAGCTGCAACAAAACACATCTTCTAACAGGGAAAAAAAAAACAGCTTAATCACATAACTCCAGTACTGGCCTCCATCTGCTGTTCATTTCAGGATTGATTTTAAGATGTTATTGTTTGTTTTTAAGGTTTTAAATGCAGCCACCTTAGCAAGCAGAGTTTTTGCATCATCGTACCCCTGGTTGGAGCGCTGAGGGCGACCAAGTAGATGTTCTTGGCTTTTCTGAGATCTCAACGTGAAAAGAAAGACGATCGAGTGTCCCACTGGAGCTGCTCCTAGTCTTTATGTTTTTCATACAACAGCTGCTCAAAGTTGTCGGTTGAAGACCTACCTCTTCTCGTTAGCATTCAGCGATGTAAGAACTTTTTATTCTTCATGTTTTCCCGTAGATGAAAACATATCATTGTAAGAAATGTAAAGGAAGCTGCTGTTTTTAAGAGTTACGCCACCAGTAGCGATAATGATTTTTATTCCCTCCTAATATTCCCTGATGTTGGATTATGCTGGTTTAAAATGGGCTCTTGTGGGTGCATCATCGCTGTATGCTCTGTGTTTCCTTTTTTGGCAGAAATCTTTACATTTTCCTGTTATTGCTGCAGACTTGACAAACAAAGAAGAACATTGAACCACTGGAGGTGACGTAAAACCACAAACTCAGCCAGCAGGGGGCGACTCAGAGGTCAGACTGTGTGGAAATCTCTTCCTACTTCTACTTTACTCTGTTAGCTCAGTGAACATTTTCCTGATGACTTCATGGCCTCAATCATTAGCTGCAAGTCAATACAGCATGATATATTTATTTTGTAAATGATCGTACCATTTAGAGGACACTAGTCGATAAAGTAGGGTAATCGTCAGGGTGCTACTGTATTGCAGCTGCAGCGCCGACTTCCATTTGGTTTGAACAGACCAAGATGGCAACTCAAGACTTCCAAACTACAAACTAATGGGTGACGCCACAGTCGCTGTATCCATCTTTTATGCACAGTCCAGAGCCAAAGCCCGACTCTCAGAGGTTGTTAAGTTCCTCTTTAATATGTCCACAGCTAACTTTTCAGTCAATAAACATCTCCAAGCGAGACGACGTGTTCTCATCCGCCAGTCTTCGAGCGTCATTGAAATGAGCTTAAATCTTGATGCAATAAATATTCCCTCCAACTAGAAACTAATCTCTGTTATGTCACGGATTTAGAAGTTGGAAATAAAATTTCTCCGTCGGTCCCATGCCAGGCCTTTTCCACTCTGACATTGTTACCACGTCCCAGCTGGAGATGATTATCAGGCTTTTCCTTCGCTGCCACACACAGACGTAATGCTGTGACTCAGTCTTCTGCAGCCTCGGGGGATATCTGAGGTTTTATGAGTTCCTTCCAGCCCTGATCACTACCTCTGACTCATTGTTTAATAGAAGAAAAAAATCCTGTTAGGAAGTTGGTTATCTTTGTAGGTCATCTTAATTAAACAAAGCGCTACATTGTGTGGATTTTACTAGAAGTTTACACATGTCCTGGCTGCTCCTGTGCACATGAAGGGAGGCAGCGTATTGATCCTCCAGAGAGGAGGAGACATGCTCGGTATCTAATGGCAGCAAGACAGAGCGTCCTGCCCTTCAGCCGCCTCTTCCTGAGCTCAAGGACCAGCTCGCTCAGGTGTGAGCGCTCGTGATTTCTTTCACTGCATGGCTGATTTATCGGGGCACAGTGTGGCAAAAAAAAGAAAAAGCACGAGGGACAGACTCTGAATGATGCCTGAAATGTGTTGAACTGCGTCTGAACCCACTTTACATCCGGTTACATGTCCATGATCATCAAATCTTGCTTGCAGGTGGAGAAAGTGGTTGAGAAGGAGATCAGGCGGCGGTACAATGCACCTCCAGCTGCGTCGCCTCGTGGCTCCAAGAGTCTCCGAGGAGTTTGGTTGCTGTCAAGGCCAAGAGGTAAGTGATCTTAGAGAGAGTTTGATCCACTTCAAAGTCAAGCTGCAGCTTCTGTTAGACGTCTTTCAGCTCCACTTGTATTTTTCGGTCTTAATTGTAGGTTCGTTTTGAGGCCTGCACCAGTATATGATACGCTGCTGAAGGAGTGTCTGCTGGACCCAGACATGAGTCAGTGTTCCCTCTTTGTGCTCGATGAGGCCCGTGACAGACCGCCGCACACTTATGTGCTTTTTGAGCCGTTCAAGGACGCATTTTACAATCTGCAAACCGTCATGAACACTCTGAACCCCAACACCCACCAGTGGGTTTGGAAGAATGCTTTTGTTTTTGTAAATTGACAAAATGAGGACATTTACCAAAACTAAACACGATAAACAACTAAAAGAAGTGCCGGATTTCCAACTTTCTGATTCATCTGTCAATATATCAGGAAAACTGAGTCTGAACTTTAGATGTTTGATCAAAATCACTTCAAGTCTCATTTAAATTGTTCCAAAAAACAAAATGCAAGAAAATTCTGTATAACAAAGAAGCCAGAAGTAACTCAGCTGTGAACAAAGACCACATGACAAAAGTTTTCTTTTTCTCCAAATCGGTTTG